GCTCTGTAGGTGATGCTGGGTCGAAATGGGCCAGTATTGGTGGCGTAGTCAGCAGATGGATAAGAGCCGAAAAGGCGTCCGCTTGCTCTATACCCCATGCGAAGGGAACGTCCTTCTTTAAGAGATCAGTAAGCGGTCGAGCGATGTCGGCGAAGTTGCGGACAAATCGACGAAAATAGGAACATAGCCCTACAAAACTTCGGACGTCCTTGGTTGAGCGTGGTTCAGTAAATTGTTGTACTGCTCGTACCTTTTCGGGATCTGGTTGAACACCATCGGCACTGACAAGGTGGCCGAGTATGGTGATTTGGCGACGTCCGAAATGGCATTTTGCAGAATTGAGCTGGAGAGCAGCTCTTCGAAAAACATCCAGAACGGCTGACAGACGTGTTATATGGCTGTCAAAGGTAGGTGAAAAGACGATGACATCGTCTAAGTAACATAAGCAGATGGACCACTTATATCCTCGGAGAAGGGAGTCCATCATGCGCTCGAAAGTTGCCGGCGCATTACACAGTCCAAACGGCATGACTTTGAACTGGTAGAGGCCGTCGGGCGTAACGAAAGCGGTTTTTTCACGATCCATGGGGTCGACGGAAATTTGCCAATAGCCGGACCGAAGGTCGATAGACGAAAAGTATTGGGCACCATGGAGGCAATCGAGGGCGTCATCAATCCGAGGCAAAGGGTAGACATCTTTGTGGGTCACTTTGTTTAAATGGCGATAGTCCACGCAAAAGCGCCAGCTGCCATCTTTCTTCTCAACGAGCACGACTGGGGAGGCCCAGGGGCTGGATGAGGGTTCTATTACGTCTTTAGTAATCATTTTATCCACTTCATTTTGAATTACTTGGCGTTCCTTGTGAGATACGCGATATGGACGCCGCCGTATAGGACTGGCATCACCAGTGTTGATCCGGTGAGTCACTGCAGTTGTTTGGCTGAGAGGGCGGTGGTCAAAGTCGAAAACGTCTCTATATGATGTTAGCAGACTACGGAGGCTGGCAGCTTGCACTGCAGTGAGGTCGGGAGCAATCATCTTGTTAATGTCATCTGCAGGCAGAGTGTAATTGCGGCCAAGACAGGGGGATGTAGTATCGGTGTCCAAACCAGTAACGTTGCAGCTGTCAAGTGGAGATAGGGTGGCCAAAGACATGTCTTGCGGAATAACTTGAGTCAAGAGACTCACGTTGAGTAGTGGTATAACCACTGTATTATTAGCGACGGCGACAACAGTGTGAGCAAGGGCGACGTCTCGGGCCATCAGTACGTCGACTATAGGAGTGACGAGGTAGTCACCGTCGGGCACATGACGTGAGCACGACAAAGTGACATATGTAGCAGCTTGCGGAGGCAAGCGAACGTGGTGACGAGAGCATAAACGGGGAGAATAGTCTGCTGGAAAATCGGCAAACTGCGGCAGTTCAAGCTGAAGAGCACCAGTGGCACAATCAATGAGCGCAGAATGACGTGACAGGAAGTCCAAACCAAGTATTAGGTCATGAGGACACATTTCAATGACGGCAAACTGAACTAATGTAGGATGACCGGCAATGGACACACGGGCCGTGCACATCCCTTGAACATCAGGGGTCCTCCCATCAGCGACACGAAGTTTGTGGGAAGCGGCAGGCGTGAGCACTTTATGTAGGCGTCGGCGAAGGTTCGCGCTCATTACAGAAATGTGCGCTCCAGTATCTATAAGGGCAGAAATAGGCACACCGTCAACGGCAACGTCTAACAAATTTTGTCTCGTCGGAAGTGTCAAGAGAGGATTTGTGGAGGGAGTCGAAAATGCAGCGTCACCTCCGGGCGCTGCACCGTTTAGTTTTCCGGGTAGGCAGGAGCGGGGTTGAATGGGGACGACGGCCTGCGAGTCTGCGGTGAGCGAGACGACTGGCGACGTCCTGGAGGCGAACGCGACTGATGACCATGCGGTGACGGAGATCGGCTGTTTAACCTTCTGTAGTTGTTTTGCGGAGAAGGCTGCGCGGCAGACGCGAAGCGGGTGCTGTCCTGTCGGTAGTGAGGTTGAGATGAAGTCCGAGGTGGCGAGGACCAGCGGTAATTGCAGTAACGGACGACATGACCGATACGGTGGCAATGAAAACAAATTGGTCGATTGTCGACGGTTCTCCACGCAGCAGGGTCGCGAGATCGGGCCGTCAACTGCTGCTCGTGATAGGACGAGGGTGGACGCCATGAAGCTCGCTGCGGGCTGGGCAAAGCGCACACCGAGGGAATACCTATGCTGGCGAGTTCTTGGCGGACGATGGCTTGAACCATGTTAGCAGTGAGTGGGGTGGTGTCACTTGCAGCGGTGTGAGCCGGAGCAGAGGCAATGGCTTCAAGTTCGCGCCGTACAATTCGGGTCACCTGATCCGATGAATCTAGAGGTGGTGGCTGTGTTCTTGCACGGTCTTCGCAAGATGATGTTGCAGCCGTATTCGGAAGGCGGGTAAACACGCTGTTAATCCGCCGGCTCTTCGCTTGCTCAAAGCGCCGACATTCTTTTATAATGGCGTCTACTGTAGAAAAATTTTTGCAGATGACGAGGTTGAATGCGTCATCCGCAATCCCCTTGAGATGATGCCCGACCTTGTCAGCCTCCGGCATCTCGGCATTGGCTTTGCGACACAACGACAACACATCTTCTATATAGGAGACGTAAGACTCGGTCGAGGTCTGCGCCCGAGACGCGAGCATTTTGTTCGCGGCCATTTTTCTTCCAATCGGCTTTCCAAACAGGTCCAGCATTTTCTCCCTGCACACTGCCCAACTCCCAAGTTCTGTTTCATGGTTCTCATACCACGATTTGGCGGTTCCCCTAAGATAGAATAACAGGTTTGCCAGCATAAGAGTCGGGCCCCATCGGTATCGAGTACTCACACGTTCGTACTCTGCCAGCCAATCTTCAACGTCAACTTCATCTGGATCGCCGGAACCGCTGAACGTGCCAGGATCCCGCGGGGGTTCGAGCACGAAGGTTGTGGTCGCAGAAGGAGATGTAGTTACCGCATCATCTCCGGCCGCAGGAACACCAGGAGCAGATGCAGACGCCGTACTCTCCGTCATCGTTGTGGAATGACCCTTCAAACGTCGGCCGCTGCGAAGTTCCGTTGCGAGGCGGTTGCCCAGCACTTCCACCAAATGTGACGGGGCGAGGTCTTGGCTTACAGGACAGCGTCCACCGAGAATCGGCAGCCGAACAAGATGTCTGAGTTGCCTCTCGCGCAAGCGCCTAACGCACAGGCGTCTTCTTCATCTTCGCTAAGTGCCACGCTTGCTCCTGTCGATGATGCACCGTAACAATATCAAATTCGGCACATGATTTTTTAATAAATTATTCCTGACAAAAAGTTGGATGAATTAGTTCCTACTGAAAAAGCAATAAATGATTATTAAAAAAAATTTTTGAATAGTTAACATTGTTCAACTGAGAACCTTTTGAAATTGAGGTTATTGAGTAAATATCTTCGACTGTATAATGAAATCTTGCATCCTAACGGCAAGATCGTTTTCTTCGTCCTCAAATATCTAGAGGTCTACCACACGATTTGCGTTAAACACCCCATCGTTGTTTTCGTCCACTTTTATACACGCACCATTTTGTTTTCTCTTAAATTGCATCTCCCCGATGTTAAATAAGTGAGGCAGTTCTTTTTTAAAGAAAAGTCTCGCGCAATTACTCGCTGACGCAAGGCTTCCTGCGCACTACGCGAACGAGTTCAGGACGGGGCTGGCGACGCCTCGTACTGTACGAACCGCCCGGAACTACCTCGTAAAGAACATCACTCAGTCGCTGCAGTACATTAATGTGCTCCGACATCACACAGTGCCCGGGCCTCTACCATTTTTCCTCGGTCGAAGTGCGACCGCCACGGCTGCGATGGAACCCGCGACCTGCTGGTCAGTAGCTGTGCAACGTAACAGCTACGCCACCGCCGGGCAGACAACATACGAAAGTTGATGGTGCAACCACTTTCCATTATTATAACCAATATATTGTTAGAACCGATATTTTTATAAGTAGGTCTGACTATGCAGAAACTCGGAAACTGTCTGGTCGGACGTTCTTCAAACTAATCTCTAATTTTCCGACTATGGTTGCCTGAAGGGTTCTTTTCATTTTTCTTATTTCATTTTATTTTTATTTATTAAGGTCCCCACTAAAGGAATAAGTACCTAAATGAAAAAAAAAACGAGTGAAAGCCTTTTATTTTTGCAGTGCAAATGAATCCCTTATAGGGGTGATAGATGGGAGATAGGTTAGGCTGTGACTTGGTTACAGAGGGCGTTCCCTCCTGTAACTTCACGAAAACAGAATGAAGACGAAAAATTGACGGTGCCCGTACGCCGGCGCGCACCATGCTCAAGGTTATCGGTGCGATAGGAAATGCGTGTTGAAAGGTCAAAGAATGCAAACTGAATCTTCCCTAATTGAGCAACTGAAGAAAAACCGAAAAACGATACTGCCACTTACTTCATGCAATAGTAAGCGACACACGTTTGGTCATGTTCTCAGGGAGTGCGTCGGCGTATATTTACACGTTATTCGCTGAAGAGTGCTCTGGCATCGGGCATGTGAGGCCAGGCACTGAAAGAGCAGCACGAAAACACTGTATTGTTGTCGTACAGCTAACATAGCTTGCCACTTTTTTACTGGTCTTTATAGGTGGGTTTGGCGTACCTTTACCTTTTGGAATGGCAAAGGAATCCCATATCTTACTTTCTGGCAGTACATGCACTTCGCCTACGACATTTACACCAAGGTAGGTGGATCCACGAAGATGCCTGAAATGTGAAATTAGAGTAGGTACCAAATCAGAATGTTTTACAACGAAAGCTGTTAATAGACCAAAACTCGGGTCGGACGCGGCGTCGTAGTTGTACACCGCCGCCGCCGCCGCTGCTGGTGTCCGTAACCAACCCGCACAAAATGAAAAAAAAAAAGTTGTACCAATGACTCAGTGGGGTTCAAACCCGGGTCCGCTGGGTGCCATCCCAGTATTCTACCACTGAGTCAAGCCGGTGCTTGTGACTTGTTGGCAATCTTGCCTTAGGCAGGCTTGATGTCGGGAAAGCAATCGCGTTAATGCGACTTTTAAAGCGTTTTAAAACAGCGAAACAACTAGTCGTCGAACAATACGAATAGCGTAACGAGCGGGTCGTCCAATGCTCCAACCCATTACCAAAGCTTGTTCTTGTACACCTATTAACTGTGGCACATACCCACTTCAGGCATAATTCCTCATCGTCGACAGCCACCACATGAACAATTCGCACAAAGTTCCTTTCAACTGTTTAGCAGATACCACTCTTCTCAGAAGAATGATAATAACAAATGCCGGCATGTTACCCAAAAAATTGTTTAATAATGCCGTAGTGGGTATCAAGCAAGTGTGATTGCAGCAGAGAAGCCCCTCTTTTAGCTTACACCGTGACTGTGCTGCGCCTTTCGCGCAGGCCTGGCGTTTTTCAGGCTCACTGTAAACAACGCTAATGTTTTTCTGAATTTAACTTGAAATTTTTTATCGAAAGCTCATGGTACGTCATCTCAATATTGTAAACTTTATAAGGAGTAAAGGAGGAAGACGGCTTCTAAGGTTGCTAGATTAGGGGAGTAACCAACTTAACACACTCATTCCTCTCTTTTAGGCTAACTGGGAAGGGACGAACTATTAGTCCCTCTCTAGTGGTTACCCCTCAAAAAAGCAACAGTTACTTTTCGCGCAAAAAAGAAAAAAAGATCTTGGTTCACTTAACCTGCATTTTTAAGTGTGCGCAGGCACGAGATTAGATGTACAATCGACGTGCCAAAACCACGTTAAGGAAGAAATTTAAGAAAATTTAGGAAAAGCAAACACAAGCGATTTGATCTCACTATTACCCAGTAAATTTGTTTTCGGTGCCCAGATCCGTGCGATGATACCACTTTGTACTCAGTGTTGGTCACGCCTTCATTGCAGCCACTCAACGAGGTACTCCGCCGTGCCTATACGCGACATGGTCGTTTGTACGGGTAAGTAAGCGTGACAGCGTTTTCAATAGTTTTTAGTGTTTCGATCACAGTTGCAAGTGCTTCTCTGTGTCAGCGTTTGAATTACGCTCGTCTAATCTTCGCTTGAGGAACAGCCGATGCGTCCCAAATGTGGGCCTTCAACCACACTCGTGTATTATTTAGTGATATTTCATTGAATCTTAATGAAAGCTTCGCGCTTATAAGAACTCGGGATGAATTAACAAAAATGAAGCTTTGACAGCGATATCAAGTTTCAGCATTGTATTTGACCTTAGAAGATGGGTACCAATGCATGGCCATAAGACAATCGGAAGAAAAAGCACACTGCCTGCCACCCAGTATGCGTCGGAAATTCGGACATCCTTTACTCTACACGAAAAAGTAACTTCACTCTTTCTTGTGAGTTGTGACTTGCCATGTATACGACTCCCTTTAAAGAGGCAAGGTAAATCTTACGTAGATGATAGGACTCTCAAAAGAAAGTATAATACTATCCGAAGAAAGTTCAGCTGCTTGTTAAAAAAAGTTTTATACTATAAAAGCCAGCACTGTCAAAAAAGAGTCAGGTCACTGTATTTTTTTTCAGTGCTGAAAGCTTTATTGCTCTATTTCCATCGCGCTGGGGCCGCACGCATGCAAGATTATGCATGTGGGCAAATTGTAAGAAACACCGTGCACTAAGACGAAATGTTTGCGCAAGGATTGGATTTGACTACTGTTTCAATAAAAGCTTCTGTCACGATAGTTTTCAGGAGTGTAATAACGAAGTTTCTAGAAACCTTACGTTGTCATTTAGTTAAGAAAAGAAGGAAAGTTCCAAAGTAGCAGTGATTCCGTATGTTCTCTACATTTCACACAGACTTAAAAGATGGTGGAGAACTATAGAGTATAAGTGGTGTTTGCCGCAGAAAACAAAACAAAATGTGTGTGTTCCAAAGTAAAAGAGAAGTTTGAAAGTGAGGAAGGAGCAAAAAAAAGGAATATAACATCCAGCATCCGCGGAAAAATCAGTTAGTAGATTGTGCGAAAAATGTGGATATACAACATCACTATGACGTATGTTCATGTGAACGTGGGGTAAAATGTAAGATGCCGCAACATGAGACCACTGTCCTGACGAGACTAAGGGAACACTTGTTCAGCCTGAAAGGTCACCCGAGCATGCATTTGGCTATGCGTTGTCAAGAATGTGGGGGTGCACAGCTCAGCCTTGCAGCGCTAGAATTTTGTTCAAATTCCCGCAACAAACAGCTACAGAAATTGCGGAATGCCATATTATTGAAAAACTAAATAATGATGCATCATCCACCCTTATGTTGCTTTATTAGGCAAAGAAGCTTCACTTCTGTTATACCTTTAGTGACAATTTTTTTTCTTTTCTGGTTGCTTGCTAGATGTGTATTTGACGTAGTCTGTTGCTGTGAACGCGCTAATCCGAGGCATTATCATCACACGTGATTGTTATGTGCATTAGTGAG